CAGGCCTCCTGGGGTCTTGAGGGTCAGGGGTCAGGGCGGGGTCAGGTGTGGGGGAGGGGAAAGGAGAGGGAGGGAAGCCGGCCCGAGGACGAGGGGCGCAGGCAGAAGGAAGCCCAGGGCGGTGGCCCCATGACGGAGGAGGAGTCCGCCCAGGCTGCCTGCTGCTCCCGCTGCCAGGCCTGAAGCTGGAGGCTCCACCAACGAGAGGGGGAAGCATATTCCTTGCGGCAGATTGCTGCGTTTTCCAAATATCTCACTTTATGGAAACTCTGCCAAATCAAAAAAAAAAAGAGAGAGAAATAAAAGGAGGGCCTTTTATTCAACTTCTCTCTCCAGGGCCTTATAAGGGACAGACCTTGCTGCCAACTGCCCCTCCTGGACAGAGGGCACCAGGAAGGTGGGGTGCCGGGCCGGGGCCGTGACACCACCCCTCCTGCAGCCCCTGCCCTGAGTGTGTGTGTGTGTGTGTGTGTGTGTGTGTATGAATGAGTGTGCATGATTGTGTGTCTGAGCAAGTGAGTGTCTGCGTGTGAGAATGTCTTCTGAGTGTGAATGCGGTGTCACAAGCACATGTGGGTGTGTGAGGGCGCCTGTGTGTGAGAATCTGTGTGAGTGTGTGAACCGGTGAGCATGAGTGTGTGAGGGAGGGAAGCAGGAGACAGTGCAGGGGACCGTGGCTGGGCAGGGCCAGGTGTCCTGAGCTGGGGTCCAGGGAACCCTTAAGGGCTAGGCTCGGGATCGAGTCCCGGAGGCCCCTCGCTAGCCAGCTGCCCTGGAGCTGGTCAGTTCTCTCTCTGAGCCTCGGTGTCCCAGACTATGACACGGGAATCCTGCTGTCACTTCTTTCCTGGAGCATTATGACGAGTTGATGAGACATCCGTGCTGAGCTTCTAATCTGATTCACAAGGCACAGGACTCACTCCACCAAAGGCTGCTGCTGTCATCAATGTATCATTCATATGATCAGGCTGGGCCCTGAGGTACCCAGGGACTAGGGAGGGCAGTGTCGGGGGTGGGGGGGTGCCCAGGGGCGGGGGATTCAGGAAGGCCTGTGTGCTGGGAAGGATGTCACTAGGTGGAGTTGGGAGGAGAAAAGGTTTTGTGCATGGACCTTGCCCTGGTGTTCACGGCCTTACCTTCAACCCCAGGTGTAAAAGTGTGCAGGGCCTGATTCCCTGCCTCTGGCTGATTTAGTCTCAGGTAAGACACATTCATTGGTAAGAAGGAAGAAGACACAGAGAAGCACAAAGAAGATCAAAGTTCTCCAGATCCCAGCACCCAGAAACCACCACCACTCATATCTCAGCACAGGGTCGTCAGGAATTACTCCTGCCTACGAGCAAATGCATACACACACACATGCACACACGCACACACACACACCACTTTTTCCTAAGTGGGATCAGAGAGTACCTACTGTTCTGTAACTTGCTTTGCTGAGCTGCTATAGGGAAGAGTCAAGTGCATGGTAAGTCTTATATGTCAGCTATTATCACTGTTGGTGTTGGGCTAGAGAGGCCAAACTTCTCTCCTTATGTTTGTTGACAGTAGTTTTTCATCCTTTCTGAATTGCCTGTGTATGTCCTTTGCCCATTTTTCTCTTAGTGTTTTTGCCTTCTTCTTGTTGATTTTAACAGTTCTTTATATATGAAGGTTATCCCCCTCTGTGCATTGGATAGTCAGAGTGACTCCCAAACTGCCCCAGGAGAAGGAGGCAGGGACAGATGCTGCCAGGGTCTGAGCACTGGGTGCTTGGCCCCAGCGCCCCCACCCCAGCCTGCTAAGAGCCCTGGAGTTGGGCATCAGGAAGCGGCTGGGCTGACAGGGCAGTGAGAGGCAGTGGCAGGGAAAAAAGAGAAGGTTCAGAGCTGAAATGAGAGGCTCTGAGCGACAGAGCCTTAATAGGAGGCAGATGGAGGAAACAGTGTTGCCCTTGCTGATAGGAAGGAAGTCATGGGTCACGGAGCTTTCTAAAGATAGGAGCCTGGGAGACGGGCAGGCGACAGGGCCTGCTCCATGGTGTGGTGCCCAAGACTGTGACAGAGCAGGGCTCAGCCCCTCCCTCCAGCATATCTAGACCCTCTCAGGCCCAGAACCAGAGGCACTGCAGGGCACCTGAGGCCAGGTATATGGAAGAGCCCCCCCAAACTTGGGTTAAAGTCCCAACCTAGCTGTTTAACATCAAGCAAGCATCCAAACCTCTCTGAGCCTGTTTCCTTGTTGAAAACGGGTGTAATACCATCACCTACTTAGGGGGTATGTATTAAGATTAGTATGTCAAGTGTTTAGCACAGTGCCTGGCACATCAAAACGGCTCAGTAAATAAAAGTTAACTTGTGATTGGGACTTCCCTGGTGGCGCAGTGGTTAAGAATCCGCCCGCCAATGCAGGGGACACAGGTTTGATCCCTGGTCTGGGGAGATCCTACATGCCGCGGAGCAACTAAGCCCATGCACCACAACTACTGAGCCCATATGCTGCAACTACTGAAGCCCACGTGCCTATAGTCCGTGCTCCGCAACAAGAGAAGCCACCGCAATGAGAAGCCCATGCACCGCAACGAAGAGTAGACCCCACTCACTGCAACTAGAGAAAGCCCGCGCGCAGCAATGAAGACCCAAGGCAGCCAAAAAAAAAAAAAAAAAAAAAAAGTTCATGATTGTCACTATCCTAATCACAAGACACTTATAGTTTTCTTGGTGGTAGAGCCCATTGGTGACATCAAGGACCTCTTCATTGGCTCCAACACTGTCAGAGCTGAAGGGCCTTCAGGTTACAGGTGGGGAAACTGAGGCCCAGAGACCAGAAGGGCCATGCCTGGGGTCATCCATTGGAGCAGCTTTAATTGTGTCCTCCAAAGAGATATTTTCAAGTCCTAACCCTGTGGAAACTATGACAGTGATTCTATTTGGAAATAAGGTTTTTGCAAAGGTAATCAAATTAAAATGAATTCATATTGGATTAGGGTGGGCCATAAATCCAATGCCATTTAGAAAGGACAGGGAGATTGGACAGAGAGACAGACACAGGGAAAAAGGCCACGTGAAGACAAAGGTAGGCAGAGATTGGGGTGATGCTGCCACAAGCCAAGCCATGCCTGGGGCTGCCAGAACCTTCCCTAGTGTCTTCAGAGGGAGCATGGCCCTGCCTACACTTTGACATCAGATTTCTGGCCCCCAGAACTGGGAGAGAATACATTTCTGTTGTTTGAAGCCACCCAGTTTGTGGCGCTTTGTTACCACGGCCTTATGAAGCCAGGGCAGAAGCCGGCCTCAGACCGGGCGGTGCCCACCACTCCCTCCTCCAGCTACCTCCACGTGCTCTAGCCTTCTCCAGGCCCCTCAGGGCTCTCACCTGCACCATGGAGCAAGTGACCCGGGATCAAATAGGGCTGTGAAACCTGGGGGCTGCTGCACCATTCAGGGCCTGGGGATCAATTGAGGGGTGGGGTGTGGATCCTTCAGACAAGGGCAGACATTCCCAAACCCCCAGGGTAACGCCTGGGGAGACTGAGGCACTTCAGAGCAAACCCCCATCCAGATGCGCCTTGTTGCCAGATAAGAATTTGGGCCCAGGGGCCCGATCTTCTGATTTTACCAGACAAGCTGGAAATCTCCATTGCTGTGTGAGCAAAAAAGTGTCCCAATTTCACTTAAGAATATACTTCTTCCTGGAGTGAGAACCAAGGCAGATGTGTGCTGGGAACCAGGGACCCTATGGTCTGGAGCCCCTTCTGGCAACCCTCAGCTGGCCTGTCCTAACAGGGCTTAAACCCCACCCCTCTTTCTTGCTCCTTTAGGCAACGGAGGGGCAGGCAAAACGAGGCCTTCTGAGGCCTGATGGGGATTTTAATAGCTCATCACTTGGTATGAACAACAACCTTGTAAACTGCGTACTCCACGCCGCTGGGTCCCCATAGCTGGACCTGGAATACCTTGGACTGGATTTTCTTGCTAAGACTGTTTTTGCTCTTGGCAGGGGAGCCTTATTCTATCTATCTTTTTACATTTAATCACAGACACACCGGGTTGTCTTTAAATTCATCTCTAAACGTTTTCTACTTTGCTCAACCAATGCTTGCCTCTGACAGGTGCCAGGCGGGAGAGCTCCCACGCCCATGTGGTGGAAGTGGGGATAGATGGGAGACCAGGGCTGCCACGGGCACAGCTGGGACTGGAGCACCTCTTCATAACGGACTTTCCAGAATCACGAAGACATCAGGGCTCCACTGTGGGCCTCAAGGTTGTGGAGGTTCAAATGCGAAGCCCAGGGTTGGATGCCTACACCCCCAGAAAAGTGGCCCCAGGCTTGGGCTCCTTCCTGCTAGACTCCACTTCCACCCACAGTGACAGAGCTCTTGATCCAGGTTCTCGCGTGCGTTTGATTATCCCCATTATACAGATGAAGAAATTGAAGTTCATTGAGTCCATCAAGGCAGAAAGTGGAAGGAGCCGGCAGCCTGCGGGGCCAGGAGCTCCAGGGGACGGAGACTCAGGAATCATCCCCATCGCCCGTCGGGTTGGGTGTGGTCCAGTCAGCGTGGGGCGAGGCGAGAGCCAGGCCCAGCCGTGGTCCGACCCGAGTCCAGGGCGGCTTGCGAGCGCGGGGGGGTTCGAGTCACCTCCACCGCGGGGGGGAGCTGGACAGGGGTCAAGCCGGTGTGCTCGCTCAATGGGCGGACCTCGGACGACGCCCAGCGGCCGCGGGCGGGATCGCAGGGCGGAGCCGGGCCGGGCAGGCAAGGGACGGGCCCTCCAAGGGCTGGGATCCAGCTGGGCTGCAGGTCCGCGCCCTCCAGTCCCCCAGGGCCGCCCCCCAGACACCCCCAGCTGGCGCACCCAGTCGCGCCGCGGTCCTCCCAGCCGGCAGAGGGCGCTGTCGTCCCCCGCTCCCTTTCCCGGGCCGGAGCGGGCCGGAAGTTCCAAGTTACTTCCGGCGCGGAGCAGTTGGTTGGGCGGTGCAGTTGGCCGGCGAGGGGACTGGACCAGCAGTGGCCAAGCTTGGCCGAGACCGCGGCCCCTGGAACGTGCCCAATCGGCGTCTCGGCCTCGGCGGAAGGTGCGGCCGCCGCAATGCCGTTCCTGCACGGCTTCCGGAGGATTATCTTCGAGTACCAGCCGCTAGTGGATGCGATTCTGGGCTCCTTGGGGATCCAGGACCCCGAGCGGCAGGAGCCCCTGGACGGGTAACTCGCTCCCTTCCCGCCTCCGACCCGGAGCTGCATCCCTTTCATTGCCACTACAAACATGGCGGGGCGGGGCGGGGCGGGGCGGGCGGTGTCCCCACCTGACTGATAAGACAGACGACGGTGGTGAGGGCTCCCAGCTAGCGCAGGCAGGGCCGGAGGGTGGGGTGTCGATAGGGCCTCCGCCTCAGGGCCCCACCCTGCGCCCTGCCTGTCCTGTGCCCTCCACCTGGAGTTGCAGGGGGGCAGGGTGGAATCTGTGCGAAATGCGCTTCCCATAGCCGAGTTTGCACAGGCGCGGGTCTATCCGTGAACCGGTGGGAACGGTGTTAGAAAGCGCATCGTTCGGGGATACGTCAGTGAGCTAAACCCCCAGCCTTCATGATGCTTGTGCTCCAGAGGAGAGAGGCCGACAGTCATAAGTGAACTTAAGTAAATAGTGTATTAGGTGGAACGGAGAAAAGAGCAAAGGAAAGGGGGATCCGGTGTGCGTTTTGGGGATCAGTTGGAATTGGCGGGAGGTAGGAGGGAGGTAGGTGGGTTGGGACTTTGTGGGCACTCAGCCTTCGGAACACCAAACGTCTCTGGGTGTGAGCGAGGGAGGCGGTCTGCTGACTGCCCTGGCTGTGGGGTTGCCTGGGCTGGGCTGGCATTCTCTGCAGCTCAGGGACAGTCACTGTCTGCGGTGGGAGGGTGTCAGTGTCTGGTTCTTGATCTTGGCTACAAGAGTTCCCTTCAGTGCCAACAGCCCAGGTGTATGAGGCTTTGTACCCAAGCCAGGGGCTAGATTCTCTGGGCCGCTTGGAGGGAGGCTGAAGACAGCCTCAGTCCTTTCTCAGCAAACCCGAGGAGTCTGCTCCAGTGAGCAGATCCAGCTTGGCCCTCTCTACCACCGACCTTTTCTGAAGAGACTTTCAGCCCCACGGAGCCAGGGCCCGGCCTGTGTGTGACAGCAGGAGACTAAAGGCCACCCGCCCACAGAGTACCCAGCCAACTGGTCCCACTGCTGTTCCCACCCTCAACTGGTCTGCCTCTCTCCTGCCCCAGGCCCAGTTATGTTGCCAGCGAGGAGAGCCGGATCCTTGTTCTCACTGAGCTGCTGGAGAGAAAGGCCCACTCTCCATTTTACCAGGAAGGCGTGAGCAACGCCCTGCTGAAGATGGCCGAGCTGGGACTGACGCGTGCAGCTGACGTTCTCCTGCGGAACGGGGCCAACCTCAACTTCGAAGGTCAGCTGGAGCCCAGAGGGGCCGGGGTGGGTAGGTGGCTTAAGTGTCGCCCTGCTTTGGGTGGGCAGCCAAGCCCTCAGGCTCTGCTTTTACTGTTCTCTTGGGAGATGCTTCCCTCATTTATGTCATGGGTGATGACTAAGGAAACCCACAGTGGGTGGCCTCCCATCCCCCTGCGGGCTTTCAGATGGCCCTTAACCACCTCTGATCAAGAGCGAGTTTGTCACAGCTTCTACCATGTGATTGCTTTAGCAGACTTTCCCCCAGCTCCCAGCTAAATCCTTGCTTCCATTAATGTGAAAATGTGGCTGCTGGCGCCGTGCCCAGAGCTCAGGGAATGTAATTTTCTGCCACTCATTCTGAGCCACCTTGCATTCTTGTTCCTGCCACAGGGAGAGGGGAAAACAGATAAGACACGCTGGGCATAAATGACAGCAGGACGGTGTTGGCTTCTAGCTTGTGTGCTGGGGGATGGTGATGGAGCCATTTTCCTTCCCTCTTCGCTTTCACCCTGGGAGGGCAGGCAGAGTCGGCCAGGAGACATGCAGGGCTGACTTGGGGCCAACTTGGGGGTTTTGTGCTGACACAGGATGTGGCCAGGCGTGTCTCCCCTCCCCATTTGAGGACAGGCTCAGAGGCTTCTGGGCTCCTGGATGGTCAAGGAGCTGAGAGAGGTGGGGGAGGCATTCTGAAGTCAGCCACTGGGAGACCAGCTTTGAGAATTTGGCTTTTATTGCAAGACTTAAGGAGCTGTCGTTCTGGGTACTCCTCCCAACAGCCCTGTTTAGGTCCCATTTTACAGAAGGAACTAAAACCCAGATTAAGTACCATGTCCATTAATCAGAACACCCCCAAGACCCAAACCTAGGCCCGACTCCATGCACTGTCCGACGAAGACAGCTGTGTCCTGACCCCTCGTGGTGCTGGGAGCCCTTAGGTCGGAGCACTGCGGCTGGGCTGCCAGGCTGGTCCTGGGACCCTGCGAGAATGTGCCGACAGGCAGGACTGACGTAAGCTGTGTCTGTGCCCTCAGACCCGGTCACCTACTACACGGCCCTGCACATCGCCGTCCTGCGAAACCAGCCTGACATGGTGGAGCTGCTGGTGCGCCACGGGGCCGACATTAACCGCAGGGACCGGGTAAGAGCCAGGTCCGGCCTGCTCTGAACGGGGGATGTGGTCGGGGCCCTGAGCAGCTCACAGGCCCCCGGGCCGACACGGCTGTGCTTTCTTGACTCAGATCCACGAGAGCAGCCCCTTGGACCTGGCCAGTGAGGAGCCGGAGCGCCTGCCCTGCCTGCAGCGCCTCTTGGACCTTGGAGCAGATGTCAACGCGGCCGACAAGCATGGTGGGTGCCTCCTGTAGAGAAGCAGGGTGGGCCTGGGCTGAATTGCCTTGTGAGGTTACCCAGGGTAACCCGGGGCGATGGCTTGGCAGGCAGGCTGGAGGCAGCCCCTCTGATGGCACAGCACGGCCGGGCACACACTGGTGCATTTTGCTGACTCGCCGAGGCTTGAGAGGCAGTGCATCATCGGCCCCGTGAGGGCATCTGTAGGAGGAAATGGGGTACCTGTGCGCTCAGCTTCTGAGGGACGGGGCTCCCTGTCGGGAGAGACCCAGCCTGGGTCTCAGGTTGCATCTCAGGGTCTAGAAAAGTCCTACTTTCCCTGGCCCTTCTGTTCCCATTTTTGTGTGAGTGGAGAGAGAATGGCCAGAAACCTGTCATCCTCCGTGCAGAAATAGAGACACAGATGTAGAGAACAAACGTATGGACACCCAGGGGGGAAAGTGGCAGGGGGGCTGGTGGTGGGATGAATTGGGAGATTGGGATTGACATGTATACACTACCACGTGTAAAACGGATAGCTAGTGGGAACCTGCTATATAAAAACTAAATAAATTCAAAAAATAAAAAAAAATTCAAAAAAAAAAGAAACCTGTCACCCTCAGCCCTAGCTGAGAGAAGTCAGTCATTTTTGAAGTTCGTTTTCTGATCCCGAGGGTCTGTATTTCCCTTCCACCTCTGGGGTTGGCCTGACCTCGGCTTCCCGGCCTCCCACTGCCCCCCACTTACTCTCCCTCCCTAGGAAAGACTGCTCTGCTCCATGCTCTGGCCAGCAGTGACGGGGTGCAAATCCACAACACTGAGAACATCCGCCTCTTGCTGGAAGGAGGTGAGCCTTGTCCTCCCACGCTGCCCCCTGGAACACGAAGCATTGCTTTGCCAGGGTTTAAGGCCTCCTCCCACCGTCTCTTCTCCCTCCTGGTTCTTCTAGGGGCGGATGTCAAGGCTACCACCAAAGACGGGGACACCGTGTTCACCTGCATCATCTTTCTGCTGGGCGAGACGGTGGGAGGTGACAAAGAGGAGGCCCAGTTGATCAACCGCTTCTGCTTCCAAGTAACGCAGCTGCTGCTGGCTCACGGCGCCGACCCCAGCGAGTGCCCGGCCCACGAGTCCCTCACGCACATCTGCCTCAAGAGCTTTAAGCTGCACTTCCCTCTCCTGCGCTTCCTGCTGGAGTCCGGGGCCGCCTATAACTGTTCCCTCCACGGCGCGTCCTGCTGGTCCGGCTTCCACATCATCTTCGAGAGGCTCTGCTCCCACCCAGGCTGCGCGGAGGACGAGAGTCACGTGGACCTGCTGCGCAAAGCTGAAACCGTCCTGGATCTCATGGTGACTAATTCCCACAAACTCCAGCTGCCTGAAAACTTCGATATCCATCCCGTGGGCAGCCTGGCAGACAAGATCCAGGCCCTTCACTTCTCCTTGAGGCAGCTGGAGAGCTACCCCCCACCCCTCAAGCACCTGTGTCGCGTTTACATCCGGCTCTACCTTCAGCCGTGGCCTGTGGACGCGAAGGTCAAGGCCCTACCTCTGCCCGACAGGCTCAAGTGGTACCTCCTCAGTGAGCACAGTGGCACCGTCGAAGACGACATCTGACAGCTGCGACTGCAGGGAACAGGGTCTGGGCAGCTCAACCTGTTGGTGGATTTAAGTACCTGTGGCGGCCTTAGGGGAGAACCTTCAGCCCCGTCTGTCAGAAGGTGCATGTTGGAGGTGAGACTGGATCCTTACTGAGGACAGAGAAAGCTAGGTGGAACCCGGCAGCTGCAAGCACTCCAGTGGGGAAAGGCTTCTGTCTTCCAGGCAGACCGCCCCCGCTTCCCTCTGGCAGCACCCCCAAGTCTCACCCCACAGTGGAACAAGGGACAGGGTTTAGATTTGGGACACGTTTGTACCATCTTAATCTGAGGGAAGCGCCAGGCATTTAGAGAAGCAGGGTAGCTCCGAGACGGGACCCTCCTGCGGGCTGCAGGAAGCTGGCCTGTTCTGCATGGAGATGCGGTTGAGGCCGGAGCAGGCGGGAGGGGCCCGTGGGGTGCAGCCCAGCCGAGACCCTTTACACGTGCCTCTTCACTCCAGAGTCTGTCAGAAAGTAAGTGCTTTTGGGCAGGCAGGGAGGAAGCTGAGCTGACTCCTGCGGCATCTGCAGCTCTGGGCCCAGGTCGCCCACCAAGGTGTAGGGCTCTGCTCTGGTGGCAGCTCTGTTTGTGCCAAACCTGGGGTTTGGGGGACCATGCCTTCTAAAAAGCAATCATGCATGATCAGGGGCTCTCTTTCCAAAATGTCTTGCTTTGGGAGGGTTCACCTGATGGAGAAAGCCACCGAGACTGAAAGCCAACCTCCACCCTGTGCTGAGCCCTCACCAGGCTGTCTGCAAGTCACACAAGGTGGTCACTGTGAATTGTGTAAATGCCTGGGAGATGAGCTGAGACAACCAAATGATATATTATAAAATTAAACTGATTTCCCTTGGCCTTAAAGGTCCTTGTATAACATTTCGGC